TGCCCGCCCCCCCCCCCCGCCCCCCCCCGCCCGCCCCCCCCCGCCCCCCCCCCCCCCCCCCCCCCCCCCCCCCCCCCCATGTATCGTTAGAGATGAACTACGATGTCAACAACCCAGGCAATATTACAAGGGGTCACTGGTAGACTTTGAGATAGACAGGCGCGTTATGGAATGGTATCATCATGACTCTCACATCATTTATGAACGACCGCAATCTGATATACTTGTAGAGATGTTTTGTTTGTAATGGGTATAATAATCCATGGCCATAAGCTACGACTGGGATTTCTGGCCCAGTTCCTTGCAGAGGGGTTGCTCTAAGCCTGATTTTCTCATGCTCGTTGATTCTATCTGCGGTTTGCCTCTACAAATTCCCTAGATACTTACTTAGGTATGTAGGTTAGCCCAGCTAGATGTGACTTGACCTGGAGTATCAGGCAGCGTTCACCCTAGTCATTCAAACAACTGGCTTAACTAGCTTTATCACCAGTGTCTTCTTAATAGGTCCTGTCAAGCAATAAAATCTCTCATCAAACCAACAGTTCCATGTTGGGCGGGGCCTCGTGGCCTAATGGCTAGGGCGCTAGATTTCGGTCTGCTTTCCCTTCGACATCTCCAATGTGAAAGAACGTCAAGGGAGATCTACAAAGCTGATTCTCTAGAGATTGTCGGTTCGAGTCCGGCCGAGGTCGTCAGGAATATTTACTATTTTTTGCTGTTTTATTGTGATACATGTAGATACTGTATCATTTCTATCTGTTTTCTTTGTCTACACTGCTGGCTGTCCTTATTAAAAGTTTGGCAGGTTGAATGAATGAATGCAAACATTTCTTCTCTAATGTACCTATCGATAAGAGATTATAATGCTTGGACTTCCTCGCTTAACGCCCTGTCTTCAACGGGATATGTAGCTCGGAGTTTAGGTTTGTTCCCGGGTAGCGCCTGAGTGGGTGGTGGAAAATCACAACTTTATTTAGGCCACTGACTGCACTGCTCACAGCTTCCCTGATGCGTCATAACTTAAATGTTACTGTAGGTTAGCCTTCCATCTCTCCACATTGTTTGAAAGATACTTTGGTAGCCTGTCGGTAGCTTACAAACAAGTGATCGCTCCGCCTAAAAAAAGTATCCTCTTTTATAGTGGATTAGATATTCAATAGTGCTGGGAAATTTAGCACGATAGCGCCAGTCTTTAATGCCTTGGGTGTCTTCTGGGACTTTTCAATTCAATCATTTATAATTTTAGATCCGTCGTTCCAGCAACTCGGAATCCACCCCCACCTTCATTCTCTTTGGTGCACACACGGTCACATCGCCACCCACCACCGATTGACAATTTTTCTGTCACGTACACATCCAATCTCGTGCTTGTCTTCGTCAAGTCGAAGACATATTAGATCCGACAGACGACAATATGGCGCCCAAGAAGAAGGGAGGAAAGAAGGCGGCCGACGATTGGGAGGCTGAGCTCGGCGAGACCATAGCACCTGCCAACGGCGATGCTGCTCCCGCTGACGCCCCGCCCGCGGATGCCCCTGCGGAGGGAGAGGACGGTGATGCTCCTGCCGGCGGCCTCATGGCCATGATGAAGAAGAACCGGGAGAAGCGTAAGAAGAAGGGACTGTCGGAAAACTTCGACGACGCTGCACCTGCGGAGCCCGCTGCCCCAGAGCCTGCCGGCTTCCAAGCGCCCCAGGAAGCCAATATGGATGACGAATTCGCTATGCCGGAGAAGAAGGGAAAGGGCGGAAAGCAGAATAAGAACCAGCCTGCCGCCAAGGCCCCTGCTCCCGCCGCAGCGGCCGACAAGGATGATCTGGACAGCTCGGGTAGAGTCCTCACGAAAGCGGAGAAGGAGAAATTAAAGAAAGAGAGAGAGAAGCAGCGGAAGAAGGAACAAGTCAGTGAAACCGTGGGTTCAACATGGGCTTCATTCACCTGCTAACGTTTGTTTGTTGCTCAGGCCGCAAAGAAGAAGGGCGCCACACCCGCCGCTAAGGCTCCAGAGCCCGCGAAGACCGCCACTGAAGAGAAGAAGGATGTCCCAGCCCCTGCGCCCGCCGCGGAAGCCTCTGGCAAGAAGGGCAAGAAGCTCCCTGCCCATCTAGCCGCCATTCAGAAGCAGCAAGAAGAGCTACGGCGGCAGCGTGAAGAAGCCGAAAAAGCGGCCGCTGCCGAGAAGGCCCGTCTGGAAGAGCTAGAGCGCCTCGATGAGGAGGAACGGAAACGAAAGGAAGAAGAGAAGGCTCGCAAGAAGCAGAAGGAGAAGGAGAAGATCGAACAGCTCAAGAAGGAAGGCAAATACCTTACCAAAGCCCAGAAGGAAGAGAAGGCCCGCAATGAGAGAAAGCTGCAACAGATGATTGCTGCTGGTCTCATGGTCGGCCCATCATCCGAAGGAGCCGAAGAAAAGAAAGAGAAGAAGAAGGTGGACACGAGGAAGCGTAACAAGAAGAACGACCAGAAGGTTCGTACCTGGTCCGCCACGTGCAGTTTTATGTGCAGTTTTATATGCATCCTGGGCCCTGGCTAACGGTTTTTTAGGTCGACGAAGAGAAACTCCTAGCTGAAGCTGCCGAGCGGGCTAGGTTACAAGCCGAAGCTGCTGCGAAGGAGGCAGAAGAGAAGGCGGCTAGAGAGGCGGCCGAAAGAGAAGCGGCCGAAGCCGCCGCAAAGAAGGCTCAAGAAGCAGAAGATGTCGAGGACGACTGGGAGGCTGCCGTGGCATCAGACGACGACGTCAAAGACAGCTGGGACGCCGATTCAGACGAAGAGGCTGAAAAGAAAGCGGCGGCCAAAGAGTCGAAAGAATCTACCTCCAAGACCTTGCCCTCACGGCCCAAGCCCAGCGAAGAATCCGAGTCGGAATCTGAATCCGAGTCCTCCGAAGACGAAGAACAATCAGCCGCCCGCGCTGCTATTGCTCAGCGCAAGAAGGAGGCTGCCGAGCGAAGGGAAAAGGCCCACCAAGCCGCTCTGGCTGCGAGATCAAAGGAAAATCTTCGCAGCCCTATCTGCTGTATCCTGGGTCACGTCGATACTGGAAAGACGAAGCTGCTGGACAAGATTCGCCAGACAAACGTGCAAGAAGGAGAAGCAGGTGGTATTACACAGCAGATCGGTGCTACATACTTCCCCGGCGAAGCTATCAAGCAGAAGACTGCCGTGGTGAACAAGGATGGAAAGTTCGAGCTGAAGGTTCCCGGTTTGCTGATCATCGATACGCCTGGTCACGAGTCTTTCTCCAACCTGCGCTCCAGAGGTTCGTCGCTCTGCAACATTGCCATCCTGGTCGTCGATATCATGCACGGCCTCGAGCCCCAGACGCTCGAGTCCATGAAGCTGCTCCGAGACCGCAAGACGCCTTTCATCGTGGCCCTCAACAAGATCGATCGTCTGTACGGCTGGAAGAAGGTCGATAACAACGGATTTCAAGAGAGTTTGGCACTCCAGAGCCGCGGCGTACAGAACGAGTTCAAGAACCGGTTGGACCAGACGAAGCTCGCCTTTGCCGAACAGGGATTCAACGCCGAGGTCTTCTACGAGAACAAGTCGATGGCCCGCTTCGTCTCGCTCGTGCCGACCTCAGCCCACACGGGAGAGGGTATCCCCGACATGTTGAAGCTCATTGTCCAGCTGACGCAGGAGAGGATGGTTGGCTCGCTCATGTACCTCTCCGAAGTACAGGCCACCGTGCTGGAAGTCAAGGCGATCGAGGGTTTCGGCATGACGATCGATGTCATCCTGTCCAACGGCATTCTCCGTGAAGGCGATCGGATAGTAGTGTGTGGTGTCGAAGGTGCCATCACGACAAACATCCGAGCGCTGCTCACTCCGGCAGTGATGAAGGAGCTGCGTGTCAAGTCGCAGTACGTGCACAACAAGGAAGTCAAGGCGGCTATGGGTGTCAAGATCAGCGCTCCCGGCCTCGAGGGCGCCATTGCTGGTTCCCGCCTGCTGGTTGTCGGACCTGATGATGATGAGGAAGACCTCGAGGAAGAGGTCGAGGCGGATCTGAACAAGCTGTTCAGCCGCGTCTCTACGTCTGGACGTGGTGTCAGCGTACAGGCCTCGACGCTAGGTTCGCTTGAGGCCCTGCTCGATTTCTTGAAGGACTGCAAGATTCCGGTAGCCAACGTCGGCATCGGTCCGGTTTTCAAGCGCGATGTCATGCAGTGCGGTACCATGTTGGAGAAGGCTCCCGACTATGCCGTCATGCTGTGCTTCGACGTCAAGGTAGACAAGGAAGCCCAGGCCTATGCCGAGGAGAACGGCATCAAGATCTTCACGGCCGATATCATCTACCATCTCTTCGATGCTTTCACAAAGCATATGGAGGAACAGCTCGAGAAGAAGAAGGAGGAGTCGAAGCTCCTGGCCGTCTTCCCCTGCGTGCTCCACACCGTGGCCGTCTTCAACAAGACCAACCCCATCGTCATCGGTGTCGATGTCGTAGACGGCAACTTGAGAGTCAACACTCCTATAGCGGCCGTCAGACAGAACCCGACAACGGGCGCCAAGGAGATTGTCAGCATCGGCCGAGTGTAAGATTTCCCCCCCGCCGTTAATAAAAAAGCAAGACTATCCCCGAGCTAACACACATTGTTTTTTATCAGGACATCGATCGAGCGAGACCACAAACAGATACCGATCTGCAAGAAGGGCCAGCCGTCGGTGGCGGTCAAGATCGAGATGGGCGGACATCAGCCGACGTACGGCCGGCAGCTCGAGGAGTCGGACACGCTCTACAGTCTCATCTCGCGCGCCAGCATCGATTGCCTCAAGGAGTTCTACCGCAAGGACGTCTCCAACGACGAATGGGCGCTCATCATCAAACTGAAGTCCATCTTCGACATCAATTAAAGGGGACTCGGGGGTATGCTATTTGGTGGTTACTACCTACTTACTATACTTAACTTACCTTCTTTTGCTTATCAAGGAAGGAAGAAATGGGAAATGGGAAATGGAAATAGGGATGGTGATGTGGATGTGGATGAGGAGTGGGAGGAGAGATTATAAGAAAAGATATCGAAATATTCTCTCTAACTTATTTGCTTTCTTCTTCCCTTTTCTTTATTTTCAACTTGAACCTGGCACAAAAAGAATTTCGCGGTTCGTCATGTCATGTCATGTATGCTGTAACTGTCATTGTCATTGTCATGTCTTGTCCTTTTTTATGGATCTTTTTTTCTGCTTCCCTGTTTCTGTTTTCTGCTTTTCTCCTTTTTTTTTACTTACTTCCGTCCGTCCGTCCCAGCGGGAAAACAAAAACAAACATGAGGATTAAGTAAGAAGCAGAAAGAAGAAAGCGAGTTGAAATATAGGAGAAAATGCAAAAAGGGGGGAAAGGGAAAGCGAGAATGATATGATATATCAGAGGGGTAGGGAGGGGAAGGGGAGCAGGTAGGAGAGGGAAAGGAAGGAAGTAAATAGAAGCAAGCAAGCAAGAGAGAGATGATAAGTTGAGTTAAGTGCTTTTTGCTTACTACTTACTTCCTAACCTAACCTAACCTAGTGAGGATAAATATAGATGAGGAAGAGAGAAAAGAAAGAAGGGACATGAAATGATATTACGCGTGCACGTTTTTGTTATATACATGAATGAATAAAACTTCATCATGGTCATTCATTTCTTTATTTTAAAGACTCTCTCTCGCGATTATCATGTGTGGGGATTAGACTGGATTGCATC